TAAATGCCTGTCAGAAATTGCATCGGATCAAACTTAAAACCTTAGCATTTGAATCCAAGCACGAAGGCGCTGTGCAGCGCGCTCAGGGGCAAGTTTAGGATATACTTCACTGCTGTTCTAACTACCTGGTCTATTATTTCAACTGTGGCGAAGAGCGAGTACACCATGTCTGCCTGGCAACTAAGGCTGTGGAAGAAGATCCTTCGAATGAGCACCAGAATTTGGTATTATTCAGTGGGGCGTTTAATATCCTCTTTAACAGCTTGTTAACGTCTTCTGCATTGAGTTCGGAATGACCAGTGTGCGACTGATTCACTCCAGCGTATCGTCGAAAATGCTGCTGCTGGATGTTGGGCTGGCTGTTTTAGGAGTCCGATACTTCTCAATGTTCCACTGTGCCTTCGTGTCCCACGTCGGTGTTCGTAGCCCTGGTACTTCATATGGCCTATACCTCTGAGGCTTAAAGCGGTTGAATGCAAGACTGTTCTTCCTTGGAAAAAATTGTGTAGTTTCTAGGAGAAGCTTGTTCATGCCTACTTTAGATCTGGACAGGAAGACGATGTCTTGCCTAACGACAGTTTTGATCAGTGGGCCGTTCTTCATCTGGAGGCCGGTCTTGAATGGCAGCCTGTCAAACAGTTCATCTGGAGTCAGGTTATGTAGTAAAGGCGACAGTGGATTACCTTGTGTTATTTTTCTGGTCATGTTGATGCCCTGGCTAACGAATCTTGGCAACGCAATATTTGTCATATCCCGTTTAAGATATTGTCCACCATGGCAACGTAGCCAATGGGTGCTTAATGCCATCTCAGCACTTGTATAACAGTGGTGTGGTGAACTGAGACAAACTCCTTTCAGCGAGATAAGGTTTGACTCAGACCCAACTAGTGTCGCTTCTACGATGCTGCTGAACAGGCAGAGAATCACTCGAAGCAGCCGTTGACTCCGAGGCGAAAATCTGTTTGTGCTAGGTTGAGTTCCGCTGTTGCCTGGAGTCTCGGTTTCGCGAAGGTTTTCTGTAATATAGAGGTCATCGTTATTGGTCTATAGTTGGAGATATTCACCGAATATGCGGTGCTTTTCAACTCTAGCATTGTTAACAGCTCCTGAAGACCGTACAAACTTTCTTGTACCATGGCCATAAGTTAAACACATCAGCCGTCTTCTTTACGTCAGTGGGACGTATGCCATTATGTCCACGTGTCTTGCGATTGTTCATTTTTGTGAAATTAGAGCGAATCTCCGGTAACTCAAACGGTTTGCGTTGGTTTTCTCCTTTCGAGTAGCAAGTTTCATCGTTTATGGGTGATGGCCAGGTAAGGATATCTTGAAAGTTGCTCTCAGTTTCTTCCAGACCGAGCTGTAGGCTACATAAAAATTAATCGGTTTCAATAATTTCTAAAATCAGCCCGGGGTAGTCTGTTTATGTTTATTTCTTTCTGTAGTTTTATTTTCTGTTGTTGGTTTCAGTGTATCTTTGCGTAATATTGAGCTGCTCTAGAGCACGCTGGCGGATTCTTCGAAAGTTCCCAATTCTGCTACTCGAATTGATGAACTTCTTGAAAGGTTGGTTTTATTATCGCTTAATCAAAAGATTCATATGGCTTTGTCAAGCTTTCAGAGCCAGAAGAAAGCAGCGTAAAAGACGCGTGATGGCCGAGTTGAAATTTTCTCTAGGCGACGAGCTTTCGATATCTGTAACTTTGTAAGTATACTGAAGTTGCTTGTATGCTGACAAATACTGTTATGCTTTACAAAATATGGTTTTATGTGGAGAGACTTTGACTTAAGGATATTCAGACTTGCACAAATTTACTGAAACGCGCATAGAAAATATTTTCAGTTATAAAATTTTCCTTTGCTCGTCTACGTTACTCACATGTCACTTGTCAACAGTGTTTTGTCGCAAGGCTATTGACAGAAATTTTGATTTAACAGTGAGTTTTTTGTAACTCTTTTAATGTTTATCAAGTTATGCAAAACATTGCACAAGCATGAGAAGAGATTACAAAAAATTGCATAAAAATTCGATTAGTAAAACAAATTTGTCCATTGTTTGTGCGTATTTTCAATAGTTGCTAAAGCTGAGACTTTGGAAGCAGTAGAGGAACCGAATTGTTTCTGATGAAAGTGATCACAGTATCGTTTCCTCACATTTTAGCACCATAGACATGATTGTAGAAGATAGATCCCAATGCCTCCTGGTTTCTTAAAGTCCAAAGAGAATTGGATAACGCAATGAGAAGAAAAAGACCAGTGGTCGGTCATTTGTTGATAATTTCATAAGTAAGATGGAGCTGTCACATTAAACATCTTTTTTATTGTACTTTTTCTCCTCGTTTTATTAATTCTATATTGTATCACTTATCATCAATAATTACGTTCTGAAATATAATTTTGTGTGCGTCCTGTGAAAATTACGTTGAAAACATTAACATTCTATTGTATAAACTTACAGTAAGTACGTTGGCAACAGAGCGAGGTTAAGGGGTGGATTAGGGCTGATTCCAATTTATGTAAAATTATGTTGCGTATATGATTGCGGAACGTAGCTCTTTATCAATTTGGGGTCTATCTGTATTTATGTTGGATTTCAGTATTTATGTATTCACTTGGACAGATTTTTTTAGCGTAGTTGCATGCAGAGCTCTTAATGGAACAGCATTAACTCAGTCTTTAACTAGCCTTCAATTCATACACCGTAAAATATGGTATAATCCATTATAAAAAATATTGTCATTGTAAGTGCCAATATACCAATGAGTCGTGGCCCACTTGAATGGCCCCCTATGCAACTAGGAGCAACGGAGTCGTGCATTACGGCATCAAATCTGGTTTATGGCGACTTGTGTGTTATTTGACATACTTTGACGTAAGAAGGTTATGTAACGAGTACCAGCTACTGAACCACCGTTCGTAATGAACGCGAGATAGCTTTTTCGATCAGAGTGATGTGAACTACTTCTATTTTGCAGGTACTCAAATATCATGTGGTCGAGAGCTATTTGAGCAGGTCCAGCAAGGAGGTTGTGCAGTACGATGCCAAATTCAGTTCTGGAAAAGTTTTGGGTTATGATAATAATTAATTTTTAAAATGTTTACTTTTGCGGTTTTTACACATGCAGAACAATGTGATAATGATATGGCAACAAGTTTGATGACTTGATAGAGTTTCTTTCCTTTACAAATGGATGTTTAGGTATAACTTGGTTTCCATTACAAAAATACCATCAGCCGTCTATTTGGATCAACGTACAAACGAGGAGGTGAAGTCGGTCACTACTTTCATGGACTCAGTAAAAACTTTTCGCTGATATTATTGCTTTTTTAAACTTATTTAATCTTCGTTTAAAGCAAACGGGGGAAAAATTTAACCGTGAAGAACTGAGCAAATATCAGACATATGGCGATAGAAAAATTTGCCTCACACAAGAGGAGATCAAAAAAATCAGCGACTTTACCGAACCAGGTACATCATATTTGTAGATATTATATAATGTCTTTTCTTAGCGTGCACATCGCAAACGGTCTGGGTTGCTTAATTGGTAGAACGTCGGACTCACAACGGAGAAGTCCTAGGTTCCAACAGCGGTCGGATCACTGGGATATTTTCCTTTTGAAGTTGATATATGAATACTACTTTGTAATAAAGAGACAAAAGACTCTACCCTGTACATGCCCCCATAGCTGCTGCTTCGAATCTGCTTTGAACATCGGCACTCCTGACCGACGGCATGGAATAGTGATCGGTACCCCATCTTTACTGTCTTTAAAAGAATGGCACGGAAAATGGCCCCATTATGGACAACTTGCCTTAGGACGGTTTCGGATTTTCATTTCCTGATAGACGGTCTCTAACAAGTTGCCAGTCGTAGGCCGTATCATAAGGAAATTTACTGATTTGCTAACTGGCTTACGACGCAGCGGTAATTGTGTCGTTTCCTTTATGTCAATGCTTGAATAGCATTGCTTTACGATTTGCCTGTCCAGCGTTTGAAACCTGAAAAGGAATGACTCTGCGACCATGCTATAAACACTCGTTATTGTGCTATGTAATATGCTAATTAAACGCCGGCTGTTTGGTGTAAAGTAAAAATAGTTTTGTCGACTGACATTTAGGTAGTGGATTCGACCTTTGACCATTAGACAAGAGGGTTAGCTTTTCATTTATTCTGGCCAAGTGTGAAACATTAGTGAACTTGCCGCATCTATGACGTCACAAAATTTCATAAGGAAGTAGAATAGCGCACCTTGACCTCATTTTTCCATACTTTCAAATTAACAGACCTCAGTAACGAGTGTTTGATCCAGAAAATGATTCTCATTGTTAAGTTAAATAAATTTCAGACTTTACCTGGACAGTCGGCACTAATTATCTCGTTTTTGCGTTTATCTTGATTATAATTAATCTTATAGATTTACAGCAGTAAGTGAAACAAATGGACATAATAGTTTATCTCGGGTCTCTGGGTTTCAGGATGCCTAGTCATTCATAGCATTTACCTACGAACTTTTATTTCACTGACAAAACTTTGATTCCATTTGTCCTTGTGAATTTTAATGAAGTTTGTTGCCATTTGTTATTGAAAATCGTTGTCAGATTTCTAAGTTGCGTTGCGCTGTTTTACTGATCTTTGATTTGCAGGCCTTGTTTTAATTGGCTTCAAACCGATCACTCTGTTAAAGCCCTATCATCATGTCCGCTCAGCGCTGTTCATTTATCCAAACGATACAGTAATATTTCATTTGCCGCAATTTATAAATGATTTACTTGTCACAGTTTCAGGTAATTAAAGGCAGCGCTAAGCTGTTCCGTGCCTTGCTTGAAAGAACTTTGAGGCGCAACGTCTTTGCTCTTTGTCGATTGACCATCAGGCACGGTGTACAGCCAAGACTCGTCGCGCTTTTGCCTCAAGTAAGAGTGACAAAATGGAACCCCGATGTTCTGGAAGGTTATCGATACTGGTGCTGAAAATATCGCAGTAAAAATATTGATGCGTCTACATATCTAGTGTGTCTACATATCTATCTACTTATTCATCTGTGAGTCTCTCTGTCTTTCCATTTGTGTACTTTTTCAGCTATTTAACTGAATTTTTTTTCTGCTGTCTGTCTAACTAACTTTCTTCCTTTATATCAGTCTAGCTATCAGGCTATTTTTCCACTGGGTTTCTAACTTTTTGTCTATCTGTTGATCTCTTTATCTTTGCACCTCCCTACTTGTTGACCTGTCTAGCATTCATATTGTCTATCTGTCTGCCCGTCCGTCTTCATATCTGGGTTTTTTCTCTCTGCTTGTCTGTATTTGCCCTGTATTCTCTATGTCTACTTGCCTATCCATCTATCTGCTTACACTTCATCTACTCATGTATCCGCTCCTCTTTGTCTTACTAATTTCCGGTCTGTTTCTTCAAACCACTAAATTAGTACGTCATTTTAAAAGATGTTTACTTGGAAACAATGTATTTGAGAAATATTTCAGCCAAAACGTATGCTTCTGCTGGTGTTTACAAACTTACTGCCATGCTGTCAGCTTAGCCGAAATACTGTTTTGTATACTATGTTTGAAAATGAACTTATGTTAAAGCCGCTTTGTCCTTTTACTGGAACAATTACGCAAATAATAACGAATTTATCGGTGTGTTGTTCTACCTAACTACTTAATTTGTAAGATTGTCAAGAGAAAATCATGGGCCTATTGATTGATCTTGCCATCAGTAGCGAGAATCAGCTTTTCTTGCTAAATCCCAAATTCTGTTTCTTATTCAAGTTTATAGGCATTGTTTGTGGGGGGGAGGGTAGTGACACAATGGATAATTTGTTTACTTTGTACTTTAAAGGTGCCAGGTTAAAATTCCACGCGCAGTGTAAATAAATTTCTCATATTAATGGCTAAATTCTCCTTAAACAAGGAATTTGCTCCATTGTGCTTCGGTGCAATCAACCGAGAAACGGGCAGCAGATAGTCGACGTATCAATGGCATGTCCAGCATGATATTTTGAGGTAGTCTTGTGTTGTCAATAAATACGAACCATACGATTATGCTCTCTTATGCTTCTGCCTTCAGGCTCTAATTCACCTTGACCCTACCTGATTGATTACATGGGATAAACGTGAATTTAAAAATGTTATTAGCTATCAAGTGTTCTTTATTTATATTTTCTTCTTTGACCCAGTGAATGTCTCACCGCTTCAGAACTTGCGAAACTCGAGATAAGCAAATATCATAATGTCTGAGCAGCCTGCAGTTCTGCTGTGAATACGGAAGATCTACATACCCGCGTTCATCAATTTTTTTCCTGTATATCCACCCCTTTATTTATCGATCGTTCTTTTACAATGCCCTCTACGACAGGTTTAAAACGACTTTTAACACTGCTTTAATAAAGATTTGTTTAATTAATGCAGAAGTGTACATGTCTGACTCTAAATGTTTCGAACAGTGTTTTACGCTTGTTTCTCAAAGCGTTCTATCCGTCTCCTCGTTATTCTTTTATATGAATCTAGATTTATATTTTTTAGCCTTTTGTCTATGCGTCTGTTCTTTTGTGTAATTTGGCCATTTTTCCTTTTATTTATACTGAAATACAGTATCATTCTTTGGTAGTGTTGTTCAAGCAGTAAACTTATACTTCAATTTCAGACTTATATTTTACTTCCTGATCTATGCAAAATGTTGGTAGAAATTGACACCAGTTAATGCGAAAGCTTGCAGTAGTTTCTTGCGAAGCTACTTTTCCGTTCAGTGAATAGTTTTTCTGAATGTTTCAATCAATATTTTGACCATCGTATTGGCAAAGTCAAAATTGCTTGCAATGTAAAAATTTTAATAACCCTTTGTTGATAGGCTAATTACGTTCACATATTTAATTATACTTTTTCTGTTTTGCTTTTGGTATATCACAAAAGTTTGAAACTATCACAAGTTAGTATATAAGCCAGTAACATATGAAGTTGATCGTTTTGTTGAACTTTCTGTTCTGTTAGGTTGAAGAATACGACGACCACGGAGATCAGATTTGCCCTTCTGGATTTCATGTCATTTTTCTACCTTTCGCTGACGATTTACGTGATTTGAGCATGATCAAGAGTGAACCCAGGCCCAATGCGCGTGCGCATCATATACAAATGGCCGAAGAAATCGTTGACCGGCTGACGATCGATTACGACGCGGAAAAAATACTGAATCCGGGTATGTTTCTCCAAAATTGAATTAACAGTGGTGGTTTCGTATTGCATTAGAGTGTCGGCTTTTATGCATTACAAGGAACTAATATGACAGAATATGGTCGTTTATTCTGCACTGAAGAGATCGGCGTTTCTGAATTTTCTTGAGATTCCGCTTTTCTGCTGATAGCGCCAATACTATTAATGAATCCGGACAAAGCGGTTTTTTGTAAGAGCTTAAATCAATGCAAATCTTTCTGCCGTCATTTTTGAGTATTCAGTTGCCAAGGCTGGTTTGTTGCCATTTTGAGCAAACGAAAGATTCATAACTTTATTCCGGATAGCCCAACTTACATTTTGACAGTTAGAGGTCAGACCTATAGGCAAGTTGAATGAAAATGAAGTAAACTAATCCTTACTTAATGCGGTTTCGTTTCTATATTCATGATTTTATCCCTCTGACAGTTATTTTATTTCTCCCTGTCGTTTCTGGGAACATTCCCCACACTTTCTCATTTCCTGTCTGAGATATTGCTATTTATTATTTTTCACATCAGCAGTGGCAGTTCCAAGGTGACTGATGACAGTGGACACTACTTTATCGTTTTGAATTGAATCACCATGATTAAGAAGTAAAAAATAGTTTTTCACTCATTAGATAGGTTTTATACATGTTCTTTTTCTATTTCTCATGGGTCAGTAGCACGAAGGTAATGGGTTCCCATTCCGGTCTGATAAAAGTTTGTCTTGTGTTTCATGTTTTGTTCTGCATGAAATACACAATTCGTCAAGTTATTTTAGTACTCCAGAAGCATTACAAAGTAGTTGAAGCGTACGCGTTGGAACGGCAAGAAACTGAAGAGGTTCCTGACCACACCAGTATTGATCAGGTGTTATAAACAGTGATTTATTTTTATCGAATTTAGTACCCAATACAGAATGGATGGCTGATAAATGCGGCAGTTCCTGCCGCGTCCTGATGGATGTGATTAGTCATGAACTTTCGTCTTTCTCTGACTCGGTAATTAGTTGAAGCTGTGTTTTTGTTTGGACCTATGTAACCTTATTTGTGTCTGTATATGTTTTTTCGTAATATTTTAGGTTTGTTTATATACTACCAGTT